CAGCACCCACATGGGATCCCAGCATATTCAAGGCGAGGACTTTAGCTGCTACGCCACCGCACTGGACCCTATTACATCTTGAGAACAGGATGTTAGACTTTCTGTCATTGTCCATGCCCGCAATGATGGATATATGACTGTGTATGAAGAACTACTCTTTAGTAATGATATAGGGGAACTCAGTGAGGGGAGAGGAATTGGGGAGGGGATAAGGGAAATTCCAGGGCCTATGAAACTGTATCATAAAATGATAATACTAAAAAGAAGTAGAATAAAGAAAATAGTCATTGAAAAATTCTAGTACATCAGCTGAAGGCCATGAATTCAGAACTGAAGGCCCAGGATTCAATGCCAGCACGTTCCCAAGTATACAGGGACCTGGATATTGTCAAAATTCATGCATAGAAGATTAACCAGTGGACCTACCCAGCATTTCCTAGCTGCAGCCTAGAAAGAATATTTGACAAACCGGAAACAATGCAGCAGCGAAAGTGAATCAACCACAGCATAAAAATTAAGCAGTTACAGCTTCACGCATGCTTTTTTTTTTCCAACATAGAAAATTCGATTTGTTTTATTTACTTTTTAAATTGAAAGTCAGACATATAGAAAGAAGGAGATACAGAGAGAAGGATCTCCCACCTGCTAGTTCACTTCCCCAAATGGCCACAATGGCTGGAGTGGAACCAATCTGAAGCCAGGAGCTTCCTCCCGGTGTCTTCCATGCAGGTACAGGTCCCGAGGCTTTGGGCTATCCTTCACCGCTTTCCCAGACCACAAGCAGAGAGGTGGAAGAGAAGTGGAGCAGCCGGGACTTTAGCCGGTACACATATAGGATTCTGGCACATGCAAGGCAAGGACTTTAGCCGCTAGGTTTCTGCACCAGGCCCAGAAAGTGAAATCTGGTAAGAATTTTCATGCACAAACAGTGAGAATTCATTAAAACAGCAGGACTGTGTGCTGGGAGAATCAAACCGATGTGAGATATTAGATCTACGAAGCAAAGGACCTGAGCTGTTTTCAGGAACCTTTGGCCCTGTGCGGGAGGAATGCGCTGACGGTGGCGGCACACTGTAAAGAGTCCTGGCCCTGAAGGTGTTCTAGACACGTTCTAAGCTGTGCATTCACACGTGTTCGTTGGTCATTGGTTTAGTCTGTTATCACACACTGTGTGGGAAATGTTTATTATTATTGTTATTATTGATGGTGTTTACATAGTTGGTTAGGGTGGGAAGGATTGAGGGTTAGGGGCAAGTGAATGAGACCATTGTTTCCAAAATTTATTTTTCTTTCTCGTTTATCTGGAGGACTCAGGTAGCAAAGTTGCAGCCAGCCTCCAAACCACGCCAGTACCCAGGGATGGGGAACAGCCATCAACATCAACCCAGGGTCCCTGACGTCAAGTATGCTCCGAAGGATGTGCTTAGGTGGTCTCCATGGTTCTGAAATGCTGTTGATCGCGCCGATTCAATAATGAGGAAATCCTACAAAGTCCATTGCCTGACACAGTGGCGTGGGAAATGTGTAAAAGTTTATATCTTGGTGCAGTCCCAACCTTTATGCTGGCGGGAGCAGATCTGAAAGGATGCTGTGCGGGAGCTGCGCTCTGCGTAGATGCTGTGCTGATGGTTACAGCCCAGCTCACTGAACCACACAGCCATGCGCACAGAAAGCCACAGTCCCCAGCACACTCAGCAGGGGCCACAGGCTCTAGGGCGAATGTACAGTGTGAGCTCGGGGGTGCCAACCACAGCAGGGCTGTCCCAGCGGACTTTGCATCAGCCAGATGAAAACTAACTTCTGATGTACATCCTCCTCAAGTTTACTTTGCGATGATGTTCAACTTGGGAAAATGCATGCCCAAACATGGCGCTGCTCATGGCTACCGTAATCACCGGGAGATTTTCTTTGCCACTTGAAGGTTGCTTTGTGACTTCCCTGTGTGTCAGAATGACATGATAAGTAATGCCATGGGGCAGCAGATGACAGGGTGACCTGTGTGCACTGGGAGAAGTCCTGCCGCCATGTCCCTGATACACAGTCAGTGCTGGGCAGGCCCAGCCTCTCTCCCCACATCCCTGTGTGGGGGCAGCTGAGAGTCCCAGGTAAGGCTCCTTCACGCCCAGCCTGGAGACTGGGAGGGAACTGTGAAGATTTTCCCATGCCTACTGCCCGTCCTGCGTGCGGCTCCGGGGTCTCCTTTGCTTTGCTCCAGCTGTGGCCTGCTCACATTCCCTGTGATGCTGTCTGTATTGCCTTCTTTTTACTGGTGCAGTGTTTCTGTTCATTCCCCCATTGGCGTTTACGTGTTTCTTTCATTCTGAGTATCTCGGAGGTGTCTACATCACTCACTGCCTTCTGTCCACTGAGTTTTCTTTTCTGTCATGCTGTCCTCTCCTTTTGAATACCAAGAACTTAGAATCATGTACTCCTAATTTTGTTTTGTGACTTCACTTCTATTCGACTGTTAACTTTTATCGCAGCATCTTTCCATTTGTAGTTATATTTCTTTCAATTTAATGGATCCACATTTAAATGTGAAAAGGGTTCAGTCATATTTTGATCACCATTTTCATTTAGAGATACTGCATATTCTATCTTATGTGAACTGACATTTATGGTAGATTGATATATTTTAAATATAAATTATTTTAAACAGTGTCAGCTTTCTATACCATTTGAGAAGGTCAAATAGAGTTTATACTGGTCCCATTCTCTGTCATCTAAAAATTTCTCAAATGAAGGCCTGATGTGATAGTCTAGCAGCTAAAGTCCTTGCCTTGAACGCACTGGGATCCCATATGGACGCCGGTTCTAATCCTGGCGGCCCCGCTTCCCATCCCGCTCCCTGCCAGTGGCCCGGGAAAGCAGTCAAGGACGGCCCAAAGCCTTGGGACTCTGCATCCATGTGGGAGACCTGGAAGAGCTCCTGGCTCCTGGCTTCGGATCAGCTAGACTCCAGCCATTGCAGCCATTTGGGGAGTGAATCATTGGATGGAAGATCTTTCTTTCTCTCCTCCTCTCTCTATATATCTGACTTTGCAATAAAAGTAAATAAATCTGCAAAAAAAAAAAAAATTCTCAAATGAAAGCAGGTGCTGTGGTGCTTTCCGTATTGGGTGCTGGTTTTCTTCCTGGCTCTCTCACCCCCAGTCAGCTCCCTGTTGGGAAAGGAGCAGAGTGCCCAAGCGCTCACGGAGCACCTGAACGCAGGTCCTGCTTTCTGGCTTCGGCCCAGTTCGGCCCTGGTCATTGCAGCCCTGTGAGGAGTGAGTCAGCACGGTAGCTTTATGTTCCCTCTCTCCCTCCTTCTTTCTCTCTCTTCACATTTACATTTCAAATAAATCCATCTTTAAGAAGAGAGAATTCTTCAAATCCTTTAGGTAATGTAGCCAATGAGCATGAATTTCTTAGAAGATGTGACCTCCCAGGGTAAAACCTGCTACATCTTTTTAAACGATATTAATTTTATTGAAACAGACCTTTACAAAAGCATGAGGAACAGAAATGAAGGGAGCAGATCTTTTCATTCATATTCAGTCTCAACAGAAACATACAATATTTTACCATGACATGATAGTGTTGGTATTTAGATGTTTAACCTCTCTGCTCTATGACGTAAGTTTTACCCACTTACACAGGTGATTCTCTTGGTCATGGCTGACTCCTTTTGGAGAGCACTGACTTCACTTTTACCAACAGTAGGTGTGGCTTGTTTATCATCTGCTTCTTGCATTAGCTTGTCTCCCCACCATACTCTTTTTTTATTGCATTACATTTTATGACAGCGTTTCATAGGCTCTGAGTTTCCCCCAACCCCTCCCCCGTGGTGGATTGCTCCACCTTATTGCAGTATTACAATTCCAATCCAGTCTTGTTTCTTTCATTGCAAGCATGTGCTGTGCATAGAGTCCAGCATCTTACTGTCCAGTTGAACTCAACAGTTTCTTGGGGAGACCATCTCTGGTCTAAAGGCAGAGCTGGCAGAATATCGTTTTGACCAATTAAAAGCCGTAACATAACATCAACAACAGTTTACAACATTATGGGTTTAATTGACATTGTATTGAGTGACTGATAGGTTAGAAAATGCAGGTTCTTAACCACATCCTGTGACTACTTCATTAACATTTCCATTTTAGTTTATATACAATCGGCTTCTGTCCTCCGATGGCGACATGGCAGGATGCCTTGGAGAGCAAGACCCAGGGACACATTGGGCTGAGTTCATGAGTGATGGTGTGACTTCCTCTTGGTCCCAGAAATCTTGAGTTTTGTTCCAGTGCACTGGGAGAGCTTACCCCAATTGTCAGCCTTGTGTGCTGCGTGTAGGAGCTTCGCACCAAGCATGAGGGTGAAAAGGCCTCCCAGCACTGCTGACTGGATGACAAGGCAGGAAAACAAACTCCTCGCTTGAGACTTGCTATTACTTGTCATATTTTTAAAAATAATTACATTTTGGTTGATTTCATTAATGAATACTTAAAACTACTCTGAGAAAAATGTTGAAAATATTTTTTCTCTGAATGAATGTGTCTACAGGGTAATTCCAAAAATTCTTGCCCTTCAAATACGCATACTAGTACTAGTACTCTTCATGTATTGAAAGTGTGTTTTTTGAAAGGTTAGAGTATGCAGTACCTTTAGAGATTGGAAGCAATATAAAAGTCCACAGTAAATCTCACCGGACAATCTGTCTTTGCAGAGGTCCCTGTGTCCTCAAGTCCTCATACCGGAATGCAGGATGCTTGCATTGGAAGTCCTCCTTCTGCATATCATGCGTCTTCTATACTCTAAACTTGAAGGAATGTTTGAAATTCAGCACCTGACTGTGTCCAATTGTGTCTGAAATGTAGAAGATTAAACATTTCACCGCCCATCTCTCAAAGGGGTTAGTCTGCATTCTCTTCAACAGCTGATTTTAAAAAATTGCAGTAGAGTCTGTGTTTCAGACGATGCTAATTTACCTAAAAAAAAGCACTTAAAGCATCATCGAGATCATGTTACTGAGTGACGTGATTTATAGCTTCTTTCTCACAAGTCAGATCTCTGTTGGTGTGCTGGCAAACTCACTGGTCTTCCTGATATATGCGTACATCTTCCTGATCGAGCCACACCTGAAGAAGCCCATGGATGTGATGTGCATGCACCTGACTCTTGTCAATACCGTAACTATTGTGTTCCAGTCAACACCACAGCTCGTGTCCTCCTTTGGAGTCAAAGATTTCTTGGATGATATTGGTTGTAAGACGTTTTTGTACATATCCAGAGTGACTCGAGGCCTTTCCATCTGCACTACGTCTCTGCTGAGTGTGTTTCAGGCCATCACTGTCAGTCCCAGCCATTCTAGATGGGCGTGGCTGAAGTCTCAGCTGTCTCAGTGGATTTTGCCCTCTTTGCTTTCCTTCTGGGTCATCGACATGCTGATCTGCATCTACATCCTTGAAGCTGTGAGAGCCAGGTTGAATTTCAGTGTAGTTGGTCTGAGGTATGTTCATGCCTACTGTGAAAGCAGGCCGCTTGAAGAGTACGTGCCAATATTAGTTTTATATGTTTTAATGATTCATGACCTTGTGTGTATGGTGCCCATGGTCGGGAGCAGCCTCTACATGGTGCTCATCCTCTACAGACACCGCAGGAGAGCCCGGCACATCCACAGCCTCACTCACTCTTCTCAGTCATCTGCAGAAAACAAAGCCACCCGCACTATCCTCCTGCTGGTGCTGTGCTTCGTGGTATTTTATTTTGCCAACAACCTTCTGATGATTTATGGGTTGTATGCCTCTGAGCAAAACGCAAGACTGGAGGGTATTAATGGAATTTTATCATCGAGCTACCGGACATTCTGCCCCTTTCTGTTGATAAGGAATAACAAAGTTTTTCTCAGATTGACGTCCTGTTTTTCTAAGATGCGAGTGATCTTTTCCCGAAGAGCTTACAATGGCTGATTTGATATCTTCTTCAACAGAGGAGTTGCTATTAAAATGTACACAAGGAAATAGCTAGGGCACCATGGAGACTGGCAATGGGGCTGGCTTGAGCTGAACCATGTAGTCCATAATGACATTCATGTGTTGTGATGTTAATATGAATGTAAATTTATTAATTAGCACATGAAATCCAATCTTAAGTGATACTGTGGGTTAAATGAATGTGTTGCGTATCATTATGCTATTTTTCCTTAGATTTATTTATTTTCATTTCAAAGTCAGATATACAGAGAGGAGAGACAGGATTCTCTTCCAGGTCCCTCGTGAGGGTGCAGGATGCCAAGGCTTCTGGCTGTCCTCCACTGCTCTCCCTTACCACGAGCAGGGAGCCGGATGGGAAGCGTGGCAGCCGGGATTGGAACTGGTGCCCCTATGAAATCCCAGTGTGTGTAGGCGAGGACTTTAGCCACTAAGCTACCGTGCTGGGCCCTCGTTAAGCTATTTCTATATGTTTGGTTTTGTCTGTTTTAATGCAGTTATTAGAGCACAGAAATTTACACTGGGGCTTGACCTGTATTTCCATGACTTACGTTCTCCATAAGGAGTTTCCTCATGAAGTGACAGCTAACCTCTTCTGGTGAGACTTTCCAAGAAGCTGACTGTGCTGCAGAGATGTAAAACGAGAAAACAAGAGTCAAGAAAATGCCTCAGTATGTGTTTCAGCAGGGAAGTTAGCTATGAGAATGGAGCTGCTTGAGAGGATGCACTGTGTGGGAGAGTCCATCCTTAAGACGCAGTGCACTTCAGAGGGATCGCCCAGGACGTGTCTGAGTCCGGGGTCAGGTTCCTAGCGGAGTGAGAATAAGGGAATTCCTTTTAAAAATGCACAGATGCTCCCTCCCACCCTGAAGGTGTTTTGAGCAAGACGGAAATGCCATCCCATCCTCCCAGTGTCTAGTTTTCTCACGAGATTAGGAAGAAGTACTGATGTCTTGTTTATTGTAATTGAGCAGGCTGGACAGGATTGCAATCCCAGCTCGTAGTGGGTTTTGTCCACACCCTCTGTGGACATCCACCCTTGAACTGGACCAGAGTCTCTGCTTTCCTGTCTTGGAAAGCAGGCTTCTCACTTCAATAAATGAATCTTGCTTGGCTCATTTCTTTTTTCTTTTTCTTTTTTTTTTTTTTTTCTGCCTGGACTTTTTCTATGTTCACAAAACCCAAGGTTTTCTTTCCTCATGGGCTTTAGTTCATAACATGATCTCCCGATAGAGTCCCACTTGGCATGGGGGCTTCAACATTCAGAGGTCACTCTAGTGTGTAACACACATATAAACACAAGGAAATCTTATTTCTCCCCGAACACCTATTTGGGACTTGGCTCCATTTTCAATATCTACTTCCCCTTGGTTTCAGCTTCCTTAAGATTCACGGGCCCTTCAGGTTCAAATTTCGTTGTTTGCCAGTCTGCCACAACCCCATAAGTTCATCCCCACCCTCTAACTTCATGCCTGTGAGCCCCATCCACCAATCCCTCACAGCACTGATGCCTGTCCTTGGCCACAGGCAGGCACACTCTCCTGGACGTGCCCCCTTTGCATACTGCCTTTAGCCCGTCCACCTCCATCCTGCTCCGACGTCCCTTGGTCCCTCTTGTACCTCCATAGCAGGTCACTTTGCTCTGCCTCTGTCTCTCTGCCTCCACTGCCATCCTGTGTGCTCTCTATGCTGCTGAAATAAAGCCTGCTAGTGGCCTGGCGTGTCTGGTGTGGCGGCGTGTGGCGGCAAACTTAAACCAGAATAGGGGGTATTCTTAGGTAACATTTGGTGCCCTGAAACTCGGTTGGCCCGCTGCTGTCTGGCATTCTGGCCTTAGGTCCGGGGCCAGTACCAGAACCCAACCCCATCCAGCTGCACCAGAACTGATCGGATGCAGCCATTCCAGGATCTGACTTCATCCAGCTGCAAACCCCTGTGTGTGACCCCCTTGGCCACCGTCTCCGCCTGGAACAAGCGAGTCACTCCCCATTTTTCTGCATGCCCAAAGTTGCATGCACACACCGGGATAGGTAAGCTTTCTGTCTGTGGCTCCTGGGTTTTCAGGAGTGGCTTGGCTTGTTTTGTATTCCCCTGACCAGATGTGGTTTCCATTGTTTGGAATTCGGTTCCATAAATCTTGGCTGGGAACGGATTCTCCACTGGCTGACGCCTGCACTCTGAAGGCATGTCTGCTGACACAGGTTGCTTTGTGTGTGTGTGGCTTTATCTTGTCCCTGAGACAGGGAGCTAAGTGAAAGATGAAAGATTGGAGGAGGGTATTAATGATATTTAATCATCTTGCTACTGAGATGGTCTTCTCCAAAAAAACCCAAAATTTTTCAAAACCAAAATTTTACTCAGAATAACTTTCTGCTTTTGAGAGATGAAAATGCTGCCTTCACGAAGAGCCTTCAGTAGCTAATTTGACATCAGTTTCAGCAGACAGTTGCTATCAAACTGTATAGAAGGAAAAGTTACCGAGGTGCCATGGAGCCCTGGGAACTGGGGCTGGTCTGAATCCTGCGATGCATCGAAAACCGTTTCGGTGAATCTGTGTTCTTCATAAGCACTTTCACAGCATCAGTAAACGACACCTGCATCACCTGTGCACACCCTAACCACCGGTCCACATGGGCATGCATCGCCCTCAAACATGGAATCATCAAAAATAAAAATAATTTATTATTTGAAAATCTCAGGAAATAAAGTCAACAATAGCCGCTGGATGAGAAGGCGAAGAGCCCGACAGTGACGTCATGATCGCCCTGAGCTGTGTGAATACTAGCTCCTGACGACGCGTGTCATCCTCAAGTTTACTTTCTGATGGTGTTCACCTTGAGAAAACGCATGCCCAAACTTGGCACAGCTCATGACTCAAGCTCCTGTACTCACCAGGAGACTCAGCTTGCCCCTGGGAGGGTGATTTGTGACTCCCAGTGTGTCAGAGTGACACAATAAAGAAGTCATGGGGCAGCAGGTGACAGGAGCAAAATGCGTGCACTGGGAGAAGTCCTGCCGCCATGTCCCTGATACACAGTCAGTGCTGGGCAGGCCCAGCCTCTCTCCCCACATCCCTGTGTGGGGGCAGCTGAGAGTCCCAGGTAAGGCTCCTTCACGCCCAGCCTGGAGACTGGGAGGGAACTGTGAAGATTTTCCCATGCCTACTGCCCGTCCTGCGTGCGGCTCCGGGGTCTCCTTTGCTTTGCTCCAGCTGTGGCCTGCTCACATTCCCTGTGATGCTGTCTGTATTGCCTTCTTTTTACTGGTGCAGTGTTTCTGTTCATTCCTCCATTGGCGTTCACGTGTTTCTTTCATTCTGAGTATCTCGGAGGTGACTACATCACTCACTGCCTTCTGCCCACTGAGTTTTCTTTCTGCCATGCTGTTCTCTCGTCTTGAATAGCTAAGTGGAATGTATTAACTTGGAAATCGTGTACCCTAAATTTGTGTTAGGACTGTTAACTTTGACCACAGCATCCTTCCATTTATAGTTATTATCTTTCAAATTAATGAATGCACACTTTAAAGGACTTGGTCACATTGAGGTCCTCATTTGCACTTAAAGACAGTATATACTCTCTCTTGCTGTTATACAACAGCATCGGTCCTTCATATTATTCGAGAATGTCCAGCACTGATTTTGCTCTCAGTCATCTAGAAATGTGTCCGATGAGCGCATGCGCTGTGGTGCTTTGTGTATGGGCACCGTTTCCTTCCCGGCCGTGTCACGCCCAGTCCAGCTGCCCGTTGGCGTGCCAGGGAAAGGAGCAGAGAGTGTCCAAGTGCTGGGGTTGCCGCACTCCCGCAGGGGACCTGAACGCAGCTCCTGCTTCCTGGCTTTGCCGGGCCCAGCCCTGGCCGTTGCAGCAGTTTGAGGTCAGTGAGCAGATGGCGGACTCCTGTTTACTCTCCCTCCCTTTTTCTCTTTATCTTTCAAGTTTATCGATCTTTAAAGGCAGAATGGTTCAAATCCTTCAGATAATGTAGCCAATCAATATGAATTCTTTATTATGTGCCCTCTCAGGATACTATCTCTTACTTCTTTTGTAATGATATTAATTTTATTCTAAGAATAGACCTCACCATGATCACGAGAACAGAGTGAAAACAGCAGATCTTTTTATTCATATTCAGTCTCAACAATAAGTTTCCCGTATGTAAGCATGATAGAATGTTGATGTATAGATGTTTTGTTTTTCTGTTATATGATGTAAACTCTGACCACCAGTACGGGTCATCTCATGGCTCCTTTGGAGAGCACTGCATTAACATTTACCACCAGTATGAGTGCTCGTAGGAAATCCAGGTACTCCATGAATGTGGTCAGTGCAGAGGGGACACGTCAAAATGCGTGTCGGTGCCATTTTAGATTGCAGTGGGCAGCAGGACACGGTGCGACATTCCCGGACTGAGGACATTAGGGATGGTGTCGCTCCAGATTTCTTGGGGTCAGAAATCTCGAGTCCCATCCATCCTGGTGCATTGTGGGAGATTACCAGCCACATTCTCACACTCTCTGCCCTGGGTGTCCCGAGCCCTGATCCAAGTGTGAGAAAGAGAATGCCTCCCGGCACTGCTGATGAGATGCCAAGGGAAAATCAATCCTCTCTTGGAAACCTGCCATCCCATGTGATGTTTTAAAAATCAATTACATACTTGGTTCATTTTATTACCTGAGTATTGAAAACGACTCTGAGAAAAATGCTAAAAATATCTTTGGTCTGAATGAATTATGTCTAAAGGTGACGTTCTAAAAAAAATACATCTAATAGTTCAAATGCATATGCTAGTATTACTCTTCATGTGTTAGAACTATGAGGTTCTTCAGAGAGGTTGGAGTGCACCTTACATTTAGAGACAGGAAACAGTCTAACAGTGCGAAATCTGACCCACTGATCTGTCTTTCCTAGGGGCCCCTGTGTCCTCAAGTCCTCATACCGGAATGCAGGATGCTTGCATTTGAACTCCTCCTTCTGCAT